GATGGTCACGCCGCAATCCCTTCTCCTCCATTCTCCTCTCGGGATCTTGGGCACGCACGCACACGCACCCGGCGTGAGTTCAAGCCACTGGGTCCGGGACTCGAACAGCAGTCAACTACATGGGAGTTCAGTGACATAGCCATTACGCTAACTGCTGGTCCCAAAGCTGGCTATTTGTCAAAGATTTAGTCACATAAACTTGAAAAGCTTTTAGATTAATTTGTATGCATGCTTTCATTTATTAGTCAAATCGAATGAAATTCCTTACGGCCTTTCATTACACAGACACGTGACAATGTAACACATAACATATATGTATATACACACTCTTACCCACAAGAAGTCTCATAATCTTTTGGAAAGTTCTTCATATCTTTTTTTTTTTTTCTTTAAAAGAAGTTTAGAACTTAACCCTTAAGTTTACTTCTTACTTCAGACTTTGTTAGAAAGAAGACCGTTTGGGGGCCAGCAGGTGGTGGTTAAGGGTGTTGGACTGCCACGTGGCTGACCCTGGTTCGAGTCCTGGACCTGGTGACTTACTTTCTTACTTTCTTTCTCTCTCACTCTGTTTGATTCCAGCTTATTAGGTGCAGTTTCTTCCCCAGATTCTGATCTACGTGGCTCTAAAGCTGAAAAGATGAGATTACATAGGGACCATACAGATAAAGGGACAGTTTCACCTTGCTCATAAGCCCGTCTTAATGCGCGAATAACTAGTTTCCACTGTTTATAATTGAGAGCATTTTTTTCAGATGGAATAAACCAATAGCAATGGTTGCAAACCAAGTAAAAAAAGTTCTTCGAAAGTAGTCTTTTTTTACCTTAACCCCAGAGCTCTTGAGTAGAGTCTGCAAGATTTGCATATAAGATTCATTCTTAGAAGAAGTAGTTCCCATACTTACCCCGTGCTGAATCCCGAAGGTCGAGTTACTCCGACCAGAAATCCCTTTGGTCCCTCTGACACTTGAAAAATTTTCTTTACTTCTTAGAGTCCTTCTACCTTCAGGTCCCTTTTGGAGCACCAAATCTGAGAAATTCATGGCTTGAAAGTAGGGTGTCATCGAGGACTGAGAAAAGAGACGAGGGAAAAGGTTAAAGCAGGGAACTAAGGCTCTCTTGGAGCAGAAGCAAGACTGCACCGGAGCAGAGACCGTTTATTCCAGATTAAATCAGGTGAGTTTCGCTATGAAGAACAGTGTACAATACACATGACTTTCTTGGTAGGTAATATTCCTGCTACAAGGTCAGTAGCTATCATTAACTTAGTATGTAGACACCATCTTGGCTTGCGGAAGGTCCAACATTCTGAGACACAGCCCATGCCTGGAGCTCCATCCAGTGGGTTGACCATGCAGTCCCTGCGGCTTTCTGTCTGGGAATGGGGTTACTTTCAACTCCCTCCTGCATTCCTCCCTTCTGGCTCTCTCTCAGGCCTGGGCTGGTTTCTATCTCCAACAGAGGAGATGGGTGCAGTGGCAGCAGACAAAAGCAGGTTTATTTATTTATTTTTTCTTAGAGTTTTTTTTTTTGCCATAGGGCGTGTGTGCTCACCAGACAGACAGAGAGAGACAGAGAGACAGAAAGTGAGAAATCACCCCCCCCAGGGGGGATGGCCACGCTGCAATCCCTTCTCCTCCATTCTCCTCTCGGGATCTTGGGCACGCACGCACACGTTCCCGGCGTGTTTTAAGCCACCAGGTCCGGGACGAGAACCGCAGTCGACCACGTGGGAGTCCAGCAACATAAAAAGGCAGGTTTTTTTCCTTCAACTCCACCAAGGGCACACAACATTCATCTAATTTTGGAAACACTGAAAAAAATTATTTTTCGGGAACCAGCAGTTAGCGTAATGGCTATGTCGCTGGACTCCCACGTAGTCGACCGCGGTTCACATCCCGGACCCGGTGGCTTAAAACTCACGCCGGGCGCGTGTGCGTGCGTGCCCAAGATCCCGAGAGGAGAATGGAGGAGAAGGGATTGCGGCGT